GACTTAATACAGTGACGGCAACACCTCCCTCCCGCCCCTCCCAGTAGGGTTGGGATTGTACTGTATTCCCTACTGGTTTACCCTTCCCCCCTGTAAAGGGTAACATTTTCCCTGGGTGCAGAGGCTCCCTCATAGTCTCCAAGACTGAAGGACCCCTAATTATGGGACTGCAGCTTAAGTGTATGAGATTAAACACCGTAAAAAGCTGCAAGACGCTCTTTTAAGGGAAGCGGAAACTGGTCAGAGAAACGCCTCCAATTTTCATCCCCAACTTGATTTTTAAATCCATGAAGGATCTTACAGAACATGTCTCTCAGATCATTTTTTGGGTTAATCCACGATGCAACAGCATCACAAAAAAATATAAAATCTTGGATTACTCCACTGGGATTCACACTGATCATGGTACAAATCCCACGAAATGCTGAATCCTTTTCCTCATTGTCCCTTATGTTTCTCAGAGAGGTGCACCAGGGTCTTATAAACTGCTGTAGCATGGGGGCCACCTCTTGAGGACAAACGTAACCAAGACGACCAATTGTTATTGCTGTATTCTCTAACAACGTCTTTGGTGTGTTGGGTCTGTTAATGATTTCTACAAGCTGGTGCAACACCATAGGAATATAAGGCTGCATCTCTATACCCATTTGAATGGAGATTTCTCCAATTGCCCATGTGGCATTATTGCAGACTGAAATGAACTCTGGATTTAGGTTGGTTCCCAGTATAGGCATGAAATCAGCTATACAAGGCTTAACATGCTGAAAGCAAGCTTTCATCAGGTCACCTAACAGGGCGAAGGAACTCTGTCGAACTTCTGGCATTTTATCCTGCATGCATTGATACATTAGTGTTAGAATGTTACTTCGGGCTACTAGCTGTTCAATGTTGCCTCCAAGTCCTTCAGCCAGGCCACTGAGTAAATCAAGAGCCACTATCATAAAATCTTTATCAGGAGCCTCATATTGATCTGGTTGAGCATTGTTCAGCATGGCTTGTGCAAGAGTCTTCTGTACTAGGTTTACACAACGCTGGTACACAGGTTCACAGTATGGAAGGAAACCAGACTGCAGGGCTGTGGCAACTGAAGATAGGCACTCAAGTAAAGGGAAGAGATCTTTATCTTCATCCTTTAACATGTTCCATTTCTGGATCAGTGGAGGCATTAGCATCTGAATATATTCTGGTTTGTTTAAATGATGTCCTACTGAATCTGCTAAAGTTCCTATGGCATCATAAAGAATGAGCAGGTTCTTATGCTGGTATTTACTAAACGCGAAGACCAAGGTATCAAGTATATAAGCAAGGTAAGGAACAAGTTCCGTACAAGCCTCCTCTTCTAAGGTAGCAAAGGCACTGCAAGGACCTGACCTCATTTTAGAGGCCTTCAACCTAAACTTTGCTGGATATTCCTTCATTCCTCTGCTTAGTCTTTTCTCCAAGTTCCTAAAGCCTTCATCCTCAACTTATATCTTCAATATGTTAAAAAAAAAAAAAAAAAAGAAAGTAAGTCTACACAACATTTCCCAAATTATATTACTTAACACACTATTCTGGAAGGTAGTAACAGGAATGAAGAGAAAGGGCAAATACATTCGGGAAATACTACATAAATTAGGTATTCTACTCTTGGGAGGTTCATAACATAACCAGCATAAAAAGGACTGAGAGATCCCAATGAAGAATACTTTACTAGGAGTACTTTCTTTAGTCTCCCCCAATTAACATCCTATAAAACAATATAATATCAACATAACTCTGGGAATTGCTGATACAGTTCTTCTTTCAGCTGATCCTCTATTCCCTCCCATGTAATCCAGAAATGCTTGTCTGGCATCTAGACCTCTGAAATAAATGACACTCCAGAGAAGATAGGTTCAGCTCCGAAGTGAACCCACAGGAAAGATCAGACACTATGCCAAGAATACTGATTCAGGAGTAGTGATCACAAATCTGAAAAGGCTTACCCCTTTGTAGATGTCCACAGTCAGTGTCGAGTTATCGTCAGGAAAAAGGTGAGTGTGGGGACTACTGTTATTTCTACAGACTGCAATCTGGAACGCAAAGCAGTTTAGGGGCAACTTTTATTTTTGAGGCAAGGACCAGACCAGAAGAGTTCTCCTGCAGATCACAAACTACAGGTTACATTCAAGTTATCTAGGAGACACAGGCTGGAGGTAAGACACTGGATACAGGTTGTAACGGGAGCAGGGACTGGCGGCAAAAGCACTTGTGGTCTTCTTCCATAATCCTTCTATACCCTCATGCCATCAAAAACATTTACTGAGTTAAGAGTATACATGGTAATATGTGATTGCTGGCTGGCTTTAAGTGATGGCAGGAAGAAAGGGCCCGTAAGAAATATGAGAGGACTCCTTAGTCAAAGCAGAGCCAGGAGTCAGAGGTCCTATAGATAGGCAATCAGGAATCAAGATGATAGAGAATTCAAAATGCAAAAGAGTATATCTTAGCCAGTTTCTGCTTTCTGTTTGTTGACTCCTCCCTACCTGTCCTCACCTCCAAATGGCAGGACTGGCAAGCAGGCTGGCAGTTGATAAACAGGAAACAAAGAGGGATGACAAAGAGCCAAAGAGACATGAAGCCACAAACACAACAGCGTAAGGCAACCTTTATTCTGAGGCAAACTCCCTTCTGAGCCAATAGCTGGGAAACATGGGTCCAGGCTTGGTCTGCCCCCAGACCCTAGACCCTGACTAGTGCAGTGATGAGGGGGCAGCCCTGAGGCTGGAGATCTGTTTTCCCTGAGCTCCAAGTCACTGTTATTTTGCCTACCCCATTCCGGCCTTCACTACCCTCACATTCACTACCACTCATGACCCTGGCTTACTCACCACCTGGTCGTTGGTTTTTTCAAAAAATGCTTCGGCAAAGACTGAGACGACAAAGACGTTGATGATGAAGGAAACAAAGAGTGCAATGCAGGATTCAATGAAAAAGTACTTATTAGCTTCTCGAACTTCCTGCTTATTGGCTCGGTTTACCTGTCTGGACTAGAGAGATAAACACCAGTAGTCATTTTTTGATTAGTTAGAACAAGATTCCTAGTAACATTTCATGAGTTTGGAGTTAGCTGAAAGATTTAGAGGGCAAACAACTGACCATAAGAAATGTGAGAAAACTGACTTACATCCCAGTTCATTAAGTGAGTAAGGACTTCATGACCCTCTGACAACATTGCACGTTCCCCAAACAGGAAATGATGACTAGGTACTACTGAGCTCTCAGTTATTGTGGCTAGAAGAACCACTGACATACAAAAACAACCTGATTTTCAGTCCTAACAACCTTAATTATAAAGGTCTCTGAAATCTTCCAGGGAACTACTGTATAAGACTGACTGATAAAACCTTGGTTGGGCTCTTTACTCCTCATCTCCTCAAGGTCACTCAGTCTTCTGGGATTTAAACACAAGAGATCTGGTGTACTTTTGGACCTTCTATGAAGAATTTTAGTCCCAGTTTCTCTGTGGGGTCACTTATTTCTGGCCACCTTTGTGACAAAAACAGAGTCTGAGTGTGTAAAATTTATAAACATCCAACCGTGGAAAAACCTTTCACTCCTTTAGGGCTCTAATGCTTTTAAACTAGTGTCCCCTGCAACTAAAGAAACATGAACTATCTGGATGACACGGATATAAGGGCCATGCTCACCTTGACTAAGGCAGAATGCAAGTACATATTGTGTGGCATGATGACCGCTCCCACGATGCCCACAGCCTGCTCAACCTGTGGGGTGTGACAGCCTGAACAGGATGGCAGGAACATGCCCTTGAGTACCTGGCTCTGGCTGGGTTTCACTGTAACATACTACACACCAACATAACAACTATTAGAATGTGAGACCAGGGGTGTAACATAGTACTAGGAAACACTCAGCATCCATTGCTCCTTACAACACTCTCTTCAACAACCACCTAGAATAATGAGGAATATAGAACCATCAGAAAACCAAGCAGTACGAGGGACTTGCTTCCAGGTCTGAGAATTCAGGACTGGGATATCCAAATATTTTACATCATATTTTAGATATACAAAGTAGATGTGTGGAGAATGTCATTTATATTCTAAAGAATTAGATGGCTGCTAAGGGCCTCATTGATATTAGCTTCACAACAACTCCTATGAGACAGACCCAAGAATATAGTCAATTCTTGGGGCGCCTGGGTGGCTCAGTCGTTATGCATCTGCCTTTGGCTCAGGTCATGATCCCACGGTCCTGGGATCGAGCCCCGCATCAGGTTCCCTGCCCCGCGGGAAGCCTGCTTCTCCCTCTCCCACTCCCCCTGCTTGTGTTCCCTCTCTCGCTGTGTCTCTCTCTGTCAAATAAATAAATAAAATCTTAAAAAA